AAAGAGATAATATATTTTATGAGCACCCTGACATCTGAGGTAGGTATATAAAACCTGAGTTTCAGACACCAGTTCCCTCTACCATCTTAGAGAACATATCAATCCACGTGATATAAATTATGAACCATTACAAGAAAAAAAAATAATAAAGAGAAAAGTTAAATTATGCAAACAAAAACCAATGGAGTTGTGAGTGTGTGTGTGAAAGTTTAAATTATAAATAAAATATAAAAAATTACATCTTAGATGCTCTAGTTACTTTTCAACCTAACATTTCGATCGGGCCCTCCAAATCGCTTAAATCTCGGGGTCCAAGATCTGAGCGAAGCTGTTAATCAATTTCTCAAGTTTATAAAATAAAGTTAAGATAATGCATTTAATGTGCGTCTTGTGTTTCTTTTTATTAGGTACAAATGTTCATTAAATTTATATTATATTTTATATTTATATTATAGAATATCTACAAATCATACATAAAAATATACAGTAAAACCACGTTTATAAGTGGATGCGTAGGAGTTTTTCAACAGTTGCGTAATGTACAAATTTAAACCTTAACATGAACGCGTTAAAGTCTACATTTCAAATAAAATGGAGCTAGTAAGAATATTCTGTCCGCTTTAGTTTAATATCTTAAGAGTTTTGCTGACGCTACTTATAAAATGGTCCTACAGTATTAAAATGCGCTTATGAGCGCTAATATAATTTTTAATATTAAAAAAATAACTTATTCACTAAAAATATTTGGAATGATCAATTAAATTTTCATTTCACATTTAACAAGTAAAACCATATCTGTCCTGTACACGTAAACGTCATTATATTGGCACCGGCACTATAATGTACTTTTCCAATCACATATGAGTGAAAGAGAACACTATAATATTATTTCGTGCTTGAAACTCCTCGTTAAATGTTTGTGCGGCAAAACTATGGAGTTGAGCAATATCGTCTCCGCTGGTACCACGACGCCTGACCCTGAAAATAATAAAGTAGTTAACATAAGCCCTTTTTATAATACCTTACCCGAGTTTTTAGGGATTTTCTAACATAATTAGTATATTTACGACTTTAGATTAGTCACGGTTGACGCCCGATTTTATTGAGAATACATTTTTAAATTATATATTGTAGGATTTTGGTAAATCTTCTTTTTATAGATTATTGTTAGTTTCTACCTCATACATATACAGTGAATTTGTGTGCTTGACAAGAGGTACAGTCAAATACAAATGTAGTAATAAAATAAAAAAACATAATAAAATGGTAAACTTTGCTGAGCTCTAACTTTGTAAATTAGTATAGATTATTATGGTATGCCTCGTGCCTCAGAAAGCACAATGAAGCTGTTGGTCTTAACTGTAATTTCAGAACATTTACACTGATCCGTACTGGATCCATGTTGTGGTTTATTGTTTCTTTCTATGTCATAATGATTAGATAGTAAATCAAAATTAATACATTTTCTTTTTCTGGTAGTGTTTAATATACTATTATATATAATCACACCTTTATGCTTATTATATTTATAATATTTTTCTTAAACTAATTCTGAAAAACACAAATATTGTATGCTCATTGTCACGTGACCGCACATAGCGCGTGACGACACAACCTTCTTACTCATATCAGAATTCAACCTTACGCTCAAAGATCGAAAACGCTCAGTGAGCGGAAAAATAGCTCACAACGCGTTGTGGTCACAGTAAAACATCCACATGGCGAAATTCGTGTTATGGCTCTAATGAAAACGCGCACGACGCATTGTGGCAATCACAGAAAGACCAAATAGCGAAATTCGTGTCGTGGCTGACATGCTATTCGATCTCAACGCGTTGTGGCAATGAAGAAAAGCCATCACGCGTATGGAATATTATTTGATTACGACGCACACTACTTTCCGATATGGATCCTACTAGGTCTAGGCTGAAAACGTTTTGGTAGATGTCCTTAGGAAATATTTTTTATTTTATAAAATCACTGCATAACGTGTTTGTTATTATGAAATATATTATATAAAATTAAAATAAAACGATATTTGTTGTTTATTGAGATTACTTTATATTTAAAAAAATCAACGTATTAATATTAAGTAATAAATTACTGAACACAAAATGTTAATCATTTGTAAATTTCTTACAATTCACTTAAAATAATTAGGGATTTTAATTTTTTTATGACAATTTAAATTCTTTCAAGTAATAAAAATATTTAACACAAACATAAATGTTTATTGTCCACCAATAAACAACAATAATGTACTTAAAATAAGTTTTTGATTGCTATTTATTTTTACAGGAACTATTACTGTGGCATTTGGAGTTGCATTTTATATTCTTGGAGCGACACTTGCACTTTTTATCAATACAGTATCTTTTGCAGTGGCACATTATAAACCCTTGCTTACTTCCAGATGATAACATAGATGCTGAGCGGAGTGTTAACGACGAAGTTGAGGGCACATCACAAATATTAATAAAGTTGGTTTCAGAAAGTGTAAACTCATTACGTGCATAAAGTCTATCAAATGTACCTTCTTTGTTTCCTAACTGGTAGAGACCTGATGGATTAATGCTCGTAACAACACACATAACATTCCTGGGTGCTGCTCGTCCTCTATCAACTTCAGGAACTCTAACTAAAACGTTAGAACCAATTTCAACACAGGGAAATTTTGAATTAGACAGTGAAACCATTTTGTTTGCCTGTTCCTGTAGACCTGATTTAGCACATTCTCTTTCAACATTTATTCTGTACTTTCTGAAACAGAGCTTACAAGTTACATTTGCTCCAAATCCTTCATTCTCATTGCTTTCTCCACAGATAACGTGTACATATTCATGACAGTCTAAGCACTTGTGAGCTCCTGACGTCTCATTTTTACAAACAGCACATAACTTCAAACTTTCAGCTTTTCCTAAATCAATATTTGCATTGGCTGATTCCTGTATTTTTTCATCATTGCCCGTGTTTCTTGATTCTTCTATAACGTCAGTAATAACTTTCACGTTTAAATTCTGTAATTTGTTTAACTGTTCATCATTTTCTATATTTTTCTCGTTGTTTTGAACATCATTTTTAATGGAAGATAGAACCAAATCTTGTAACTCTTCTTCAGTTTCTATGGAAGCATACACATCACCAGGAATAGATGAATCAGCAAGACCTATTTTTTGTGCTGATCCAAACATAGCTTCGTAAGGACTTCTCTTAAGCGTATGACGAAGAGCACGATTTTTTATATTCTGAATAAATCGCAATCCTTCTGACCAATTTTGTTAATTATTATCAGCCATCCAAGTTATTAACATGTCACGAACGTCTTGATTTGACCTCTCTACCGAACCTTGACTTTGAGAATGTCGAGGTTTTCCATGAACAAGTTTCATCCCTGGCCACATTTCAGCTAAATTTTTTAAGACTTTATTTTAAAATTCACGACCGTTGTCGCTTTGCAGTATATATGGAGCGCCGAACAAACAAAATATATCTAAAAGTTGATATGCTACTTCTTCAGCAGTCTTCGTTTTGATTGGTCTTAGAATAGTAAATTTAGTCAAGTGATCTTGGAACTCCCATATAGCTTTGGACCTGAATTTTTAAAGTCCCGTTCATGAATGAAATAAACGTGTACTTGAAGGTATAAACTAAAGTAACAAAATCCTAATCGTCTTTTTCCTTTAAAAGTTGGGGTTAAAAAGATATGGCATAAAATACTTTGTGGGGTTATATATTGCATCTTTGCTTTTTCGTTGAATGGCCTTTAAAATAAATAAAAATGATAACCAGATTACTCCGTTTAATAAACTAGATTAAGATAGTTACATATCTAACAAGATCCAGACACTTATAAAAGAAGAAACATTTATAACATATGATTAGACTGTGTGGAGTAGATCCCTTTGCCTTTAATTAAATCATTACAACTGAAAGTGACAAATAAGGGCAATGTACACATTGAACTGTCATTGATATACCGAATCGATTGCCATTCGGAATCCAAAAGTAATGCAAATATCAACGTTAGTCAAAGAAACATGCTTAATTGTCAAGTTGAATATTAACATAAATATCAAACTCCACGAACGAACACACAACAAACAAACCAAACTAATCATCCGCTATCATTCCACCATCATCATCATAGAACATTCATAGATGAAAACAAGCATGTCAAAAAAAAATCAACCAATCGATTATTTATACCAAAATAATCGATACGTTAACCTTTTATCGAATCAACTGCAGAACTGGCAATAATCTTCTTAAATCGGTTGTGGTATCTTACCTTTCAATTTTTTTATTTCTCAAGTATTCAATTCGTAATTTGAACGAATAAAATAAATATTTATGAAAGTATTCAAAGATCGTATTTCATATAATATATTATATATAGATTTTATATTGAATATATATTTGACGTTCATTCGCTCAGTCGGTACGCATCATTAAATCACATATCTCACTTATTATTAGCAGTTAATGACGACAGATAATATTCTATAGAACATGTTTAAAAAACTCGCGATTAATTGAGAATCGCTTCTGACATCGTTGATGTATGTGATCGATTTTTCAAAAACCATCCAAACTACAACCCTTTGACATATTGTGTGGTTTTCAATTAAAGAGAACGGAATCTATTCTATATAATCTTATTTTGAATTTAAATTCGATTATTAAGCGTATTAATAGTACTTTAAAGGCAATAGAATTAATTGTTATGTATAGGAAACGATAATATCCATTTAAATAGATGACCCTTTTATTATTAGATATAGTTTTATTATTAAAGTACTTCTGCGTAGACCAGAACGTTTTTTAAGAAGATTTTCGCGTTTTGTTTTTGCACTATCTTTAGACGTTTTGTTATCTTGATAATTATTAGTAGCATTGAATATTTTAGTTTGGTTCCCCGACATTAAAATTCATCATTTTGTAGAAATAAAATCTATTAATCATATATTATTTATTTGTCATATTGCCACCCATATACGGTTTTGTAAATGATGGGGTATATCGTTTAAGACGTCGATACTGCTTCGAACATAGAGACTCGTTGTTCTTTTTAAGAAGCTGAGACTGTTTTGTTTCATTAAGTAACATTTCATATTTTTCTGTAGTCATGATAAAACTGCGATCAGTGCTTGTTTCCACAAACTCACGCAATTTATCGTAAAACACTTCTTTTTTATTCGTCATAATTAGCGCTGACATTAAAATTCACTCTGAGAAACAGAAAAGAAATGAATAAAACTGATGTTATTATGCGTCTTTACAGCGCCGACATCGACAAGTTACAACCTGTCCGTCGTGATATGGTTAAAACAATGAATGCTCAGAACGCATCATGGCTTTTCTTCATTGCCACAACGCGTTGAGATCGAATAGCATGTCAGCCACGACACGAATTTCGCTATTTGGTCTTTCTGTGATTGCCACAACGCGTCGTGCGCGTTTTCATTAGAGCCATAACACGAATTTCGCCATGTGGATGTTTTACTGTGACCACAACGCGTTGTGAGCTATTTTTCCGCTCACTGAGCGTTTTCGATCTTTGAGCGTAGATATTCGTTTACAGTGCCGTGACGTCATAGAGACGCGATATCAGAAGTGATGTTTACGCGGGAATGTTTTAAAATTAAATTTATTTTTAGATATTAACTTATTATATGAATGAGGTATGTATATATTTAGATATATTTCACGTATATCTATAAAATAAAATTGTGAAAAAAAAATTGTTTACACCCTTATAAATAAAAGAAATCAAGATAATAATAATAATGATGATGATGAAGAGATTTGGACATTGACACTCACCTAGTATAGTAATAGAGGGGTTAAGTCTGCCGTCGGTGTTGAACAGCGGCGTGTTGTCCATTTTAGCGAAGGGTTTGTTCGGATCCGGATCCGAGGGGGTCCCCTCCACTCGAGCCCATTCACCCACTGACGCATCTTGACCCACTGTTGGCGGTAAAAATATTTAATTCAAAAAAAAAAGCGCCAGTTGTGCTTTACTTTTATATTATTGATGATTTTAAACAATTAATTAATTTTTAAATATCATGGTTCGATCAACAATAATTAAAGATAGATATATTAAAACAAAAAAAAATATAATATCGATGTACTCCGTGCTTCGAAAGGCAAGTTAAGTCGTTGATTCCGGCTGCATTTGCAATCGTTAATACCCTCCAATCCACATTAGGCCCGCGGGGCGGGTTATGACCTATCCTGCTTAACCATAAGGAAGATCTGAAATGCTGCAGTGGGGGGTAAAGGGCTGATGATGATGATGTGATAAATTAACTCTCGATTGCTTACTTAAATAATGAAACAGTTTATATGATATATCAATTTAATATCACGACGAACTGCCAAATAATGAACCTTAAGATCTTAAGTATAAGGTTTAAAATACTCACCCACAGAATACATGACTAGAGCGTGATCATTGATAGTTGCGTTATTCAGTATTATCGACTCTTTTATTCTGACTCCCGCTTTTATAGTGACACCAGCACCGATCGAAACGTTAGGACCAATCTATTAAAAGTAATAATAATTATATATTAACCTAAGTCTGGCAACCTTTTGAGATGTCAGAGCCAAAAGTTACAATACCTATACAAAATTTCACAGTTTTTAAAGAGCCGCTGAAAGATTTTGTTTTAATAGTATCCATTTTATGTTTGAGATTTCATTTATTCATATGGTCTGACGACCACGACCAAGACCAAAAAAAGGCAAATGTCAAAACTGATATTGAAGTTTACTTTTTTTTTATTACAAAACTCTAAATTGACCTTGGTATGAGGCTCGTTCAGCTGAGTTGTAAAAAAAATCCATGTGACGAAATTTTTACGTTACAACTACTATCAACTTAATCCGTGTAAGCCGGCCAACACCCAGTTGCACAAACGTCAATCAAAATTTAATTGGACTCTGTATAAAATAAAAAAGGTAGAAAAATGCGATCCTTGCTGAGTTTCTTGCCGGTTATTCTCAGTACAAGGTCTCCCACTAGATTTTCAAAGCGATGGTATAGTTTTCGACATTCAATTATAATAGCCTAGAATTACTAAATTGATTTAAAAAGTCATCATTATTTCAACAAAAGCGCCATCTGTCAATTGTTTAAATTTATTATATTAAAATTAAAAATAAATGTTACCACAGCGGTACTATCCACAGAAGCACTCGGATGCAGAAATACATCCGGTATGATATGACAAGATGGCTGCCCCGATGATTCTTTGTCGTTTTCCTTGTTCAACTCGAGGTAATGACGATTGGCATATATAGCCGATCCAGCTGTCTTCACTTGCGACCACCAATTAGTAACCTAACAACAAGAACAACTATTTCTTTGAGTTCATAAATTGGGTTTGAAAAATTAGTTGTTTATTTTACATACAAAAAGAATATTTCGGAAATATAACATGTTTACTTGCTTTAAAATTAAACTTTTTATGCCAATGCAGTCCATCATATTAATGACGTCATTTCGATATGTACACAGACTATATTATGTATGACTAAAACAGTGACATCTAACGATCTTGCTATAAAACAGAAAATATATACATAAGGTAAGATCAACGCCATCTAGGGATCTGGAAATTCTGAATCTAGGCCGTTTCACACTTCCCGTTTTTCATACAAAAATCTTACATATGTAAAGGAATTTCACAAATGTGACCTGCTGTTTAAGGACATGGAATTATAAGGTACTATAACAGAAACATTAAATAATTAAGATGAATTTACCTGCATGGCATATAATTTGTTTGTACCGGCGAGCGGCGCTAAAACATCTTGTTCCCAAGACATGTAGCCTGGATGACCATTTTGACCATTGCCACTGAAAATGCAAAATGTGTATTGAAGTATTTGTAATTTTTAGTTTAACCTAAACTGAGATACACAGGCTCCAATGGAAAGGAAAACTTGAGGAAATAATAAACTATAACCCATCCAGCGATCTTCTAGCATCAAAATGTTATTATGACAAATATAAATTAGCTAGTGACAGTAGTTAATTTTTCTGTGGATATCAAGTACCGCAATTAAAAAAGTAAAAATAACCGACAGAATATTCAGACTTAATTTTCACTTTTCCGAAATCTAGTCAAGTAATATAAAATTCGGCTCATTGATGTACCTGCACAAGAAGCTAAAATTTCAAAGCGTGGCAAATGTCAACCAATCAAAATGATTCAAGTATCACGCCATTGTGCAAATGCACCAATATCAACGCGCCTGACCACCGCCGAGTTACCTTATGGTTAATGAAAACTCACTACATTTTAATTGAACATTCGTTCATACTCAGAATCGGAACGCACCACACTAGTTGAGACTACTGTATTCAATCTATACTTTATATTATAACGCTAAAGAGTTTATTCGTATCTTTGATGAAATGCGCTAATCTGTACTGTAAAGAAGTACTGGTTATAATTGAAAAAATATATTTTTATGTTGAATATTCCATTTATTAAAAAAGGCAAAGGGCTATATAACATCAGACTAATAGGAGTGGAGCAGCAATGAAAGAAAACTGTGGCAAAAACTGGAAAACCAAACAGGGGAAGCCACTAGCAAAAAGCTAGTTTTGTTTAAAGATCTTTATTTGTCATTTAGACCGACTTACATGAGAATTTTATAAACCAGCTATATAATAGTATAAAATCAGCTCACCTATAAAATACATCCTGTTTCTTCTGAAAAGCCTCAGCCATAGTGTGGAATACTTGCAATGAACACACATACACACCACAGTTTATTAGTGTTGACACATAACTATTCGGTTTCTCTACATAATGATTAACAGCTTTCGTAGATGGTTCCCGAACCATACACCCATAGTGCACGGACTGCTGCCTAGTCGCTTCCGTTCCCATGATTGTCACCTTAAATATATTTTAATAATACTATCTATAGAAGAATTTGACACAATTTAAATGGATTTCCAAATCATTTAGGTTCATATTTGGTTAGTGCAATCAAAATAATTATCAATAATATGATCATTTACTGCTGTTAGTACGTTTTTTGATAGTGTAGCTTTTTATAACTACCTAAATAATATCTTGTCAAATCTGCCATGGATATGCTCATGATATAGTACAGGGGTGGCCAATTTGTTTAGACCCAAGATCAACTTTTCACTGATGACATCCAGTATAATCTACCAATTACTTTATTTCTTAAAATCTTAAATGAAACAGCATAGTTCGTACACAATTATGTAGCATTTAAATTTTATTTATATTTTTTGAATTGCCACAATCGACTGGACTAATAGTCGCGATCATCTGGTTGGCCACCCATGATATAGTAGAACTATTCTGGGTTTAATAACTGGACTAAAATACTATTATGAGTAAGGGCTTTGCACAATATCATCATCATCATTAATTGTTTATAATAAAGAGATAAGTATTGTTTTAAATGCACCTATTAATGCAATTAATTACAAAATTGTTTACTTCACTTCATTGCTTTGTAGATGATAATGTTAGCAGGTGATATTAGAAGCAATAAAACCCAGTGAGCATTGTATGAAAATATTCATTGATTAATGTAATGTAATAGTAGTAATGAAAGTGAAAAATATATGTAAGAACTATGCCTTGTGGCACTCTGATCTGTCTGCCTATGCCTGGATGGAGGATACAGCATGAAGTTATAGATAGATTGTTAATTTTTTTAAGCAAACTTACCAAAGCAGATGGTCTTTCTTCATGGAAACTCCATAATTCTCTTAGAGGAAAGTCTGAACAGACATCACCGTTTAGCAGAAAGAATGCTGTAGGGTTACCAGCACGGATTTGATCTCTAAAATGGTATAAGCCACCACCAGTCCCTAGAGGAGCAAACTCTTGCAAGTATCTGAAATTGTAAAGTTGTTTCAATAGTAGTTTTATTTGAGATATTTCTTTTATTTCTATTCAAATTCAACCACTGTTTATATTGTTTTAATAAAAGTAGTAGTAGTAAAGTAGATTAATAAAAAAAAATGTTGGATTAATTTTATTTTATTACATTTGCTCAGTTTTGCATTCAAATGAACACTGATATTTAATGCTTCAAAAAAATCACTAGACTCAGTAGATCAAGATGGGATTTGAATCCAAAATACTGGTGACTGCTCTAACCATAGAGCTATCTGAGAACCAACAAGACTGACAAATATTTCAAGCACTTGATACATTTTGCTACTAGTAAGCTTATTTTCATCACTTATTTTTTACCACGGCATACCCATTGGGGGCAAGGCCCCACAACCATAACTAGAAGCTAAATATAAAAAGCAACAAAATTATGTATTAATAATACCAGGGCCGCCACATAGGGGGGGCAAGTGGATACTGTTGCCCCGGGCCCGGGCCGAGGGGGACCCGGTCCGGTCCTGTATTTAGTAAATAAAGTATTTGAGAATTTTTAGGCCTATATAAAACAGAGTGTATTACACTTGACGGGCCCTGATAAGATTATATTTGATTTAATCATTGTTTCAACTAATTCCTTCAGCCATCTTGTATACAGAGACTTTCCTTTTTAATCCGTCCATAACATTAAAATAAAGTTAGTTATATGTGTTGATTAATGATTGTATAAAATTTAGTCAGTCATAATTTCTGCCACAATCGTAATTTTAGGAATTAGTAAATTGAAACTTCTCTGAATACGCCGTCTATTCACCAATAATTGTATTTAAAGTAGTTAAAATAAAAAATCCTATGACTGATTGGATATAGAATTTTCATTTCATGCTAATTTATGGCATTTTTATGGTTTTGTAATTGGTTGGTAATTATTTGGTACCTAGTAAATAATTGGTTGGTATTATGAATACTTGAATTTTCAATTCTTAAGTTACACTTTCTTTTACTTATTTGATTAAAATTAAATTAAATGTAGAATAAAATGTAGTGATGTAAGAGTTCAGTCCCCTCAAGAGTTCTTATTCGAACACTGAACCTTGATAGGAAATATAAATGATTTATTGTTTGGTTAGAAGTAGAGTTAGAGAAGGTTTAATAGTTTTTTTAATAATTTATATGGCTATCTATATACTAGAGATGGCTCTCTAGTAATAGGGGCGCGACGAAAAAAAAAGGGGCGTGGCCAGAATCTGGTCCCGGGCCTGACTTGGAGATGTGGCGGCTCTGAATAATACAATGGAAGCTGAAATTTTAACTAGATTTTGTCAGAAACCTCCCAACTTATGATTAAAAGCATTTTCCTGTTTCTTTTATTTATTGTTGCCTTACTTTTTCCTCACCCTTGCTACTTACATTTATCATGTTATTTTTACACAATGTAGGTATACATCTTTTCTTCAGGTTTTCTCTACATATGATCATGTCCACATACACACTTAAAGCGTCTTTTGTTCAAATATCATACTATACCTTATGATAACATGATATTCTTTTTGCATATCACTGATGAATTGTGACATAAGATTTGTAGTATATGCTCCAATAATAAGAATCTCCTTGCATTCTTGGAGTTTTGCACAAGCGCATATATGGTGCTGTATCAATGGCAAACCAGCAATAGGGAACAGAGGTTTTGGTGTATCAAGGGATAACGGCCGGAAGCGGGTTCCTGTGATACAATAGATAATTAATAAGATTTATCTGTGTTAAAAATATCCACTCTTATTTCCTACAGATAAGGCTTGTTGGACATATTAAATTACCACTTATACGTAATATATTAAAACGAAACGTAATTTTTTGCAGCAAAGAATTTAAAGTATGATTGTTTTGTAGGGTTATCATTGGTTTTGATAAAGGAAATATAACCTGCAAAATTTTCTTTTTATTACATAAAGTTCTCATATATAAACATACCAATGATTTAAATTTATTAAAGGAGTTCAATATAATGCTATAAAAAGATATTTAATTTCGTTTGACATTTAAATGAGATAAAGAAGTCAATAATACCGGTGACGTCGACTGAGTTTGATTTTCATACCTTTTTGTGGACCACCAATTAGTATCACTGCTTTCAACATATTTTCTTTTGTTACTTATTAGTTGTATTATTTATTGATCTTGAAAAGCTTTTACTATATTAATGCTTACTTTGAGAATAAATAAAAACACGTAGCCAAACAACAAAGTAAACAAATCAACTGCCAACCAAATCAATTTTTGCTGTCACTGTCATTTAGAGTAGAGACGTGCAAATGAAATCGAATGATATTCATTACTACTAATAAAATACATTTTCTAACAGGTTCCATAATACTATTTAATTGATTGCAATAGTTGGTTTGTAAATATAAATCAACTATTTGATTTAATTCTACATTCAATGAGGAAGTATTAAAAAAGAAAAAAATTGTTCCCGAAATCAAACTATATGTCGCTACGGTACGTTCTTGATTCTCCATGACAACCTTTCCGGTTTTCTTTTATGTTTAAAAGTAAATTAATTTTCAAAACTCAATAAAAAACTCATATTCTATTTGATCTTTTTCGTATTTGTATTGATATCTAAGGTTCGAATTTTTCAAATTTCAGTTTTTTTTAATGTTATTTAAAAAGAACGGAAATGACTGTCTTTGGTCCATTCGTTTCCTGTAAAAATCGACTTTTGCTAGAGTCGCTATCTAGTGGAGGTTCTTTTTCATTTAGTAATATTTAAATATGTAGTAATATAGAATAATGGTAGATGTTCGATTTTCATATGTAAATAAACTTCAATGAAGAAATATTAAAAAACAAAGTAACTACTTACTTGTACTTTATATTTTCACGTGCACTTCCCATTATTGAAAATTAATTAAACGTTTTTACGGCATGCAACAAAGTAACCTTCTCAAAATTTTATTTCTGCTAATAACGACCACGACCCACGACTTTTTTTAACTCAGCTGTGCTTTTCGCACAAATCTGCAAATTCAGATAGATTACATTAAATGGTTGTCACATATTTCAGAGAGTTGTCATTTAAAAAAAAGGTAAGATTTAATCTGGCGTTAAAAATAATTTAAATCTGATATTAAACGAAACAGATAGAGCTTAAAAATAATATGACGACACTTTTATTATTTCGAAAAACTCAATTCGTAAATAATCGAAACGCATTTTGTAAATATTGATAAAGATAAATTATACTAACTTTTTTTTATATTAATTATTTAATTAACAGGGATAATTCTGTAATCTTATTAATCGTTCACATATTAATTGGTTAACGTACCACATCCCTCTTGTCAACAAATTAACTTACAACAATAATTAACTTACGTTTTGGTATATTAATCCAAAAGAATCTAGGTTATAATGCCACAAATATTTTTTTTTATTTAATACTTTAATGACAAAATTTTTCAATCAACACCTACGGCCATATGTGTATACATATGTGGATACAAATGTGAGGGACCTGGATAACTCTCTTTATAATCCCACCACTCTTTCCATATGTTTGTTTGGTCTGTCAAAAAGAAGCCCTAAATGATTTGTCCTGTTAAACTAACCTATCAAATATTAACGACCAATAAGGATTGGTTGTGTACCATCCAATCCTTGATTAATCCTAATTTCTCCACTTACAATTAATTTATTAGCCTGATAGATCATTCTCTCTAGATATTAATACACTGAACCGTAACTTAGAAATAATTTGTGAGTGACGCAAATCCTATGGCATAAAAGTTTACGTACTGAAAACCCAAGTCATTATTGTTAAATTAACTGGTCATATTTACCTGCATTTTTGTTCGATGGTATCTCTTTAGTCCCTAGTGAGTGACTGCGTACGAAATCAGGAGATAGTTATAGATAAAAACTTGACATGGGGACTTCAGATGAAACAGATGAGTCGTAAAATTGTTGCTGCAGTTGGTTCCTTGAAAAGACTACGTAACTTTTTACCAGTGGTCACTACAATTGCGCTTACACAATCACCTCTTCTTCCAATACTGGATTACTCTGATGTCAGCTATCTAGACTTAACTAAGGGGCAATTAAATAAACTGGAGAGACTTCAAAATGTTTGTATTTTAGTTTCATAAATTAAGAATACCTGTAGTATAGCACCACCAATCCGCTTTGAGCCCAACACACGGGCCCAGGTACGTAATGATGTGTGGATTAGTTTCACACATTACGAATACTTGCTTTAGAACCATCAGTCCGCTTTGGGTCATACACGCGGATCTAGTACGGAATGATGTGTGAATGCGTATTGGTTTCGTTCAAAAATAATACCTGTGTTTTAGCTCCACCAATTCGCATTCGGGATCTACATGTGGGACCAGTACGGAATATTCGGTGAATTGGTTCCAACTATCATGAAAACCTGTGATTTAGCATCACAACTTCACATTGGACCCACCACGCAGCCCTGTATAGATTACTGTTTGTATTACATGTACCATCCATCAGAAAGACCTGGATCCCACCCTTCCGATCTGCAAGGGGCCCAGCACGGGCAGTACGGGTTGCTAGATAGATTGGTGTCTTCCATTATGAATACCTGTGCTTTAGCACTACCACATGGACCTTCCGGACCCAAGGCTCCCCTGGAGGACACCCCTTGGGGCGGCCCACGACTTAAGTTATCGTTATTGTCGTCAAGAAACCGTTAAAATGTATGAGTGACTCAGTACCGCGAGTGCGGCGCGTTAAAATCTGCATGTGAAATAGGCAGGATTTGAAACAATCATAGTTTCAAAACTACGCGCTCAATTTTTATGAAAAAGTTTTTGTTTCATCAAAATATATTTCTTGATGCGAAAACTACACGGTCTCAAAGTTTCAAGCGATTTCCTTGAGATTTCGCATCATATTTATGAAATTTGGGATACTAGGTTGATCTGCGAGGTCTCAATTGAAATAGTACGTATAAACAAAATTCGGTGTGTTTATTTCATAAGGTTATGAAGGGGTAAAACGAGGTTCTCGAATGGTTCGTGTGCTGCTCCCTAGATCTTTGCTTTAACTTGACTTGACCGCATTTTACTAGCAATGAAGACCGCATGTCTTCATTGCTAGTAAAATTGTGACGGGTTCGGTGCTTAGGTGTTGATTGTTACCAATCTTAGCCGTTTCATTTACATGAAACGGCTAAGTAGGCCTGATAAGTAGGTATATTTATCGTGTAAATAAAAAAAAAACTGTAACAACAAAAAAAGAAATACAAACAATTCATATGAATTTTTAAAATTATGCTGATTTGTATACTATAAATATTCTTAATGTTAACAGATTTATTTAAATATATTTAATTAAAATCTAATGATTATGTGTGGACTGCTAAAAGAATTGCCACGAATTGACATTTAGAAAGAACATATCACGTTACTCAAATTTCAAATTACGAAAAATTAATAATAATAATGAAATTATGTTAAAGATCAAAGACAAAAGGTTTGGACGCGGTCACCTAGGACAAAATGACGCAGGGGGATTATTTTAAGACTAAATATAATTAACATTTTTATTCTGTAACTAAAACATAAAAATGTTATAAAAAGTTTTTATGTTGAAACTTCATCGTTTTAATAAAAAAAATAAGTACATACCTTTCTTCAAATATTTGTAACTACTTATTTTGTTAGCACCTTATGTATAGGTATAATGATTATATATATAATGATGCATATATTTTACAAAAACAAAACAATATATTATAGAACAGCCGATATTATGCTAGATGTCGAAATATAATAAATAATTCCAAGTCACGTAAGTATTCGGGACAAATATACTCAAGAAGTGCTCGAGGTAGGGTTGGTAACAGCATTATTTATAAATACAAGCTTTCCGCGAACGGCTTCGGCCGCACATAGACCTTCTTCTTAAATCACTCTTTACCTATATTAATGAAAATCGTATTAAAATCTATTGTCCAGTTTAAGCATACACAGAAGAGATACGACTTTGTTTTTTAGGTACCGTGAATATATTTATAGGTAATAACAAGACTTGTCTAATAACAAGATCACATACATTAGTTCAGATTCCAAGATGAGTAACTAACGCCCCGTATTATGGAATATCTGAGTCAACGAAGTTACTATAACACCTAGACTCAAGAAAGTATAGAAAAGACAACTTCTACACCCGACTGGGTATAGAAACCGGGATCACAGAGATGAGTTCGATACGGTTATATGTTATGATTATATTTTGGGGATATTCGACTGATTCTGTAACTGCCTTTAAAGCCCAGAAAAAATGTGTTAAGAGCATATTTTATTAAACTAAATATTATGACCCTGCCATCAATCTATATATTCGAAGTTGGTATTTTTGTCAAACAGGATCAACAACTATTTGAAAATAAGACGAGATTGCATCATCGAGACAAATTGTGTACGATACCCTCTAAGACAGCTCAGTTGAACAAAAGTATCTTTTGTATGGCTCCAAAAATTTTTGATAAAATTCCAAAAACAATACGTAATCTGGATAATTGTAATGTTTTTAAAAGAAAACTTTATAAATTATTAGTAGCTAAAACATATTATAGTGTAAACGAGTATCTAGCTGACAGTACTTTGTAAATGTAAAATACTTAATGAATTAGTTGAATTTTTGACATAATATGTTATTGATTAGATTAGTTGACAATTACTAACCTACAAATATTGTATGCTTTTTAGGCAGATCACGGTGTAACTATTCAGTCCTTGCATCCAATATCTTTATATAACCTGCGATCAATAATAAAGATTGATTTGATTTGATTAATCATCTTTTAATACCTACCAACTAAAACAACATAGTATTAATATTAATACTACAATAATATATTGATCTCAAAGCGATACAATATTTAGTTAATGAAAATATTATAATTACTTGTTATGAGAATATTCTCATCAGTATAAAATCTTAATCTAATCAGATTCACATTTATGCCAAACGTAATGAAGTTCGTCCCCAGTACAATCTAACTGTGCCTAGCCTTTGCATTCCAGGCTTTGGACCCACTGATCATTCGATCTGCTGTCTGCATAGGCTTCAAGGCAAACCAAATAAAAGCAATTATTTTCTACATCTTCTTCATCACTTGTTCTATTCTTCTTATTAGTCTTCTTTGCTTTTTTAGGTTTCTTTTTTTTTCTTCGCTTAAGACACGCTTCTTAACATTCTTAGATTTTCAGTCTCTCGTGTATAGTTAT